AGGAGCGTTTTCCAGGCGTTAAAAGTGCCACTAGACTCAGGAGCGGGGGGAGGAGGTGCTCCGTGCTGGTACATCTTTGAGCTTGGACATAAAGAACCTGGCAGGTGCGATGCGGAGCGGGGAAGAAGGGAGGGAGGCGACACTAAGCAGGCGGGTGGTGGGTGCTATGTATTCTATGCGTCATGAGGTGCATGTTGGAGTCGGAACGGTAAGCAAGGAGGGCCCGGCAGGCGCGGGGCATGAATGCGGGTCGAGAAAACGCCTAAGAATATCAGAAATCAATCGTGGGAGAACGGGCGCTACTATTCTACCGGCCGAGAGAAAGGCGCGGCGTGACCCAGCATACCCGAGGTAGCAGGCGTTTTTACGTGGTTCAACGGGGAGGAAGGGGAGAAGCATGCACACGTTGCTGGCGTTGTTGTGGCGAAAGCCTGTTCACATGGTGCTGAAATTACGTTTATTACTAGTCGTTTGGCTTGTTGAGGGCGACGTGCAAAGGAATAACGGAAGTAGTCTAGAGCACGGCAGGGGGGTTTTGGCCCACGAAAGGAGTGTTTCGTCCCCACTGCTGTTCGGAGGCTGTTGCTGTGCTATTGGTATGGATGTGAAGCCCGAATGCCTTGAACGAAGAACTCGGCTAGGTGTAGTGTACTGCTTGCTGTTGTTTTGGAGGGGGGAATGCGAGAGGAGGGGCGCAGGAAGAAATGTACGATCTTCGGATATCGGGGAGGGAGGTGAGATCACAAACCAACCGTGCGTACAACAGGCGACACTAAACACGGGTAGATGAGAGAAGAACCGGTAGTTAGTTTCTGGATGGGTCAGATAGATATGTGCGTTGTGCCCGCTGCATGCTTCATGCGTTCGCATGATGCGCAGTAGGCGCGACTGAATGTGGTATTTTAATGCCGTCATCGGCGAACGAGAGAGAGGTCCAAGAATCAAGTGTTTGCGCTGTTCTAGTGAGGGAATCAAGTACTAGTAAGGCTTGTTTGCGCTGCGAAGAAGGTGGATGAACGATACCGCAGAACGATAACAACGATGGTATTACTCGTATCCCTTTTTCTTTTCGCTGTTCGTTCTGTTCTTTGTTGATACCTGTACATACTAATTCGTCCCGCACGTGGCCAATCTCTTGGTTGTTTTTCGCCATTTAAATATTTAACGCTACGAGAGGTGGCATGCATCGATGGCAGCCGGAAAATCCCGTGCTTGGGCCTACAGCAGTAGTAGTAGAATAGCAGATTATTGAACGCTTCGTGTTAATTGGCAACCAAGCTCTTGGCGACCACCTTTTGGAGCTCGCTCTGACTTTTTGCGGAGGGATCAGACCCCCCCCCCCACAGCAGCACAGCAGTTGATGCTTCGAGAAAACC